CTATCGCACTTGATTGTGGTGTTAATGCTGATGTGTTCGGCGTCGTTGGTCGGTTGGCGAGGGGTGGGGGAGCCCCACCCGGCGACAAGGTTGGTAGTGGACGAGAAAGTCTTTTCTTTCCGACTACCACCCCTTCCCCTGGTTTCAGAAAGGCGGTCGGAAGATGTCTTGGCACCGCGCCTACGGCAGAAAAGATGCCAGAGGTGTTGCCCCCAATCGCCGAGGTCTGCGCCGACGACGACCCCGAGATCGCCGACCTGCCTTGGGTGCTGTTCGACGTGTTCGACGACCCCGCCCGACTAGGGCTCTGAGATTTCGACGGCGGGCCATGAGGTCCGTTCGGGTCGCGTACGAGCGATCTACTGTTCGTATTGATGGTATTTTCGGTATAGTATTGAAAATAATCTTCTGGATAGTCCACCGAGGCTTCAAAAGGGGGTAGAATAACCTCCACTAGGCCTACACACCATTTACCGGGCAGCGATATTGGTGACGCCAAGAGCACTTTAAAACAACTGAGCGTGTTGTCGAAATAATGAGCTGAACTGTCGCTCAATAAACTGAGGAAAAAAGAATCTTCTTGCTGCTCGTAGGCCGAATCCATGCCTGTGTGCGTCCGTGTGTGTATATGTGCGGGCGCGCGCGCGCGCCGGACTCGTCAGGTCTTTCGCACGTCCGCCCCCGGCACCCAGTAAGTGGCTTCTGCTGGCCACCCCTCGTAGTTCACTTGCACCTCTCTCTGTCCAGTGGCTCGATTTTTGCGCGAAGATATGACTTTGTCAATTTTGTATTCTGTGTCAGCAAAGTCAGGAGCCTTTAAAAGTTCTTGTTCAAAGAAAGTACCAGTTATGGATTTCCCAAGAATGTCATGGAGCCTGTAAGAGCGAGGGTTCGTAAATAGCCTTTCCTGAATGAAAAATATTTCTTCTGAATAAGTTCCTCGATAGGCTTTTTCCATCGCGTTTTGCCTCACAAGAGAAACACGCACAGGTTCCCCAAGTTTGAATTTAAAGGTTGATGGAGATGAGGCGGGAAAGTGTTTTGTGTAGTATCGCGACCACACGTGGAAAAGATTACGATCTGTCACCTCATTGGGTGTCAAGCCACTCAGAGCCGCATGCGGCGAGTTGTTTATGCTGTCGACAATAGATTGGAGAACGTCTATGAAGCGATACGTGTTTTTAAAAAGGAGATATCTTGAAATTCTGCCCATTAAAGTCTTCAATCCGCGCTCACTTAGACTTGCCTTGCTGGTATTACTGGAGAAAAGCTGTCTGATGTTATATTGTTTTAACAAGTTTCTGAAGGGTGCACAGTCAAATTCTCCCCCATAGTCACTCCGAACGCGTAAGGGGGGTCTGTCAAACTCGCTGTCCAAAAGATGCTTGAATGCTTTTGTGACGGAGGCACCCGTTTTATCCTTCAAAGGGTAGACAAAACATTTTCTCGATCCCGCTTCGATGGCGTACAAAATATACTTGACGTGATCATTTTGTTCGCTGACACGAATGCAAGTAATCAGATCAATTTCAACGAGTGACCACAATTGCGTTATGGAGTAGAAAGGTTGTATAATCTTTTTCCTGGCAGGGTATGTCCTCGTGTACGCGCGTGTCGCTTGCAAGAATGAATCAACTGGAAGGTTTTCTTCCTTTTCTCGCTTAACAGCCTCTCGAAGAAGATGTTTGCCTCCGTACGCGGCAAATGAGGCCCCCGGCGTCGTCCACAACGATTCTAATTTATGCCGGTCCTGCTGGCTGATATCCGGCTCTTCCCATGTCGCGTAACTTAATGGTGTCGGACGAGGCGCGCCGCGCCTAGGCGGAGCCATTGACTTGTCTCCGCGTTCGACTTGTGCGTGTCAACTTTACGCCGTGGAGGGTTTTTCGGTGTGCGCGGCGGGGAGTGGCCGGGGGTGAGCGTTTTGTCGCTCCCGGGCGACAGGTTGCGATTGCGTCGTTTGGGCACTCTTTTCGCACTTGCCTTGGCCGATTTCCTCCGCGCCGCATTGACCTTTCTTTTCCGAGGACTCTTGAGGTCTACGTAGTCATCGTCCTTCGCGTCTTGTTGCACCCCCTCCGCAGGCTTCGCCTCGGCTATTTCAAACGACAAGGGTTGACGCCTCTCGTGAGTTTGATGATTGAGCAATTTTTCTTGAGCTGCTCTAAAACGAACATGGGCGGCAGTCGCGCCAAACTTGTCCGCCTCTTGGTCCGCCTTTTTCAGTATATCGTTTTTCTCTTGTCGTAAAGCTTCCTCCCGCTCCCTCTCTCTCCCCAAAAGCCTCTGCAACTGGTCGGCAGACAACACCAAATACTTCTGCAGGGGGGTGCTCATTGCGCTATCAGAGACCCGAGGACGGTTGTGAGTAAGGGGAGAAACCACCCCCGTCCAATCTGAGAGCGTATTATTTTTTTCTTCTGTTTCCAACCCGACCTGTGATTAAAGGCGAGGTCGCGAATGACCTTTTTATTTTTCCTACAATGGTGCAAACATTTATCGCTGAGTTTAGCGCTGAAAGTTTGGTTCGCTATGCCATTCAGCACAAGTTCGCATAAAGCCGTTGTCTCTGCCTTGGTTAAGGTGTCTGCTAGAGCCCTCCTCCTCTTCGCTTTCGATTCAAAGAACGTCTTGAAAAATGGTATGAGCGGTTCAATGTGAGAATCGTTCATAGCGAGCGTCCTTTAGAACAAGATCTCGAATTTGTTTTTCTGTGGAAAACAACAATCCCACAGGATCCGTCGGCAAGATTTGAGCCCTATAGCGCAGTGCCGAGTGTCCTCTCTGTGTCATATCTAACATCAGATACGTGAAGGGCAACTCACACGCTTCTTCGTATGCAGCAATGAGTTCCTTTGAGCGTGGGCCGGCAATTTGGATGGCGAGATGACGAAACTGACTTAACCCTCTAATCGACCTTTTCACGATAATGTATTTACATGAGAGTGTAATCTCTCGAGCAAATTTATTCTTTGAAAATAAATTGTGGCTGATGGCAATCACCGTGACATCGTGATGGTGAGAATACACAGTATAGAGAAGGGAAACTTCTTTTGTCCAAGAGCTTTCCAAGTCATCCAATACAATAAGGCTCGATTTCGGTACTTCGGACGCAACGGGAATGCCAAACACGATTTCGAATGGGGGATTGTGAGTCTTGATGTACTCCGGCACTACGGACCCTGGGGGGCAGCACCACACAAAATGCTGAAAGTCTCTTTCGAACACGTCTTTGCGGTGATCAATCAATGAAACACACAAGCTCGTCTTTCCTGAATCAAACAAGAAAAAAAAATGAGTCTCATGTATGCTCTCGACGGTCGTCGGACACGGCGCCGGCTTGTCGTACTCACCAGAATCACTAGGCCCGCATATGAGAATTGTGCATGGAGTTTCAAATCTGAAATCCGTCCTACACGCCGTTTTGCCTCCGACGTCCATGTAAGTCGAAGTAGTGACGAGACGCGATGCCAGCCATCAACACTACTACTCCACTCCACACCAGTGCGATGAGCGCGCACAGCAGAGCGATGGGCTGTCCACTACCGTCTCCCTCAATCTCTCGAACGCAACTGGCGTTTTTCTCGGCACAGCACGCGCCCACCGGTAGAAACGTGGTGACGTTCGCCCACACTTGTGCCAACTCTTCGACCGATTTGAAATCTTGTGTCGTGTTGTAGCAAAAGTCGGCGTACTGCTTCATGACCAGTGCTACCCGGTCCTCTGGTAGTGAGACGTAATCATGAATGACGGCTGGATAATCAAGACATTGCAGTGCTGTTGTGCCGCGTCTCGTAACCGCCATTAATGCAATAAAGTAAAACCATTTCATGACGACGATGTGCGGGGTCATCCTCTCTG